TGACTTTTCTTCTTTCTACAACACAGACCTGCATTAAAGTTGGTATCCTTTTGGGAGGGAGGAAAACCATACACTTGCCCTTGACATCTGAATGCCTTGTAGCGTCTCTTGCTACATGGTTGTACTGGGGATTTACTTCTTGATTTATTGCCATCTCCAGACTGCATGGCTTGTTTTCCTTAAATTCCTTGAGGCTGGTACTATGTTTCATTATATCCTTCACAGCACCTAGTACAGATCAATTTTCTGCCTTAAAATCATGCTGAAGTTTTCACAGTCCAAATCCTTTCTGCTGTGTAAAAGTGGTCTAATAAGAAATTGAAAGAGGCAAAAGAGGTATCTGTCTGAAATAATCATTTCTGGTTCACGAGATGCATTCTAGAATTTATTAGAAAAGTAATATCTATTTGAATATAGAGCATTTAGTAGATGATCAATAAAAAATCTTCCTTGAAATGTCTACTGTCAGATCCCATCTAAGAAAGCAGATACTTAATCAGGTAACGTTCTAGTCTCTCCACCAGAGGGTGTCAATGCCCCTATATGCTCTACTTAGGCTGCCTTCACATTGTTGTTAGGTGTCTTCTATGATTCATAGCGCTTCATGTACAGAAGAACGAAACACTGCCCGGTCCTGTGCCAGCCCCATGATCCTTGCTATACCTGAGCCTATCGTAGCCACTGTGTCAATCCATCTTGTTGAGGGCTTTCCCCTTTTACATTGTGACACCCTTTTCCAGGGAATGGTCCCTTCTGACAACATGACCAAAGTGGGTGAGGCAAAGTGTGGCCACTCTGGCTTCCAAGGAGCATTCTGGCTGCACTTCTTCCAGGACAGAACTGTTAGTTCTTTTAGCAGTCCATGGTACTTTCAGCATTCTTCAACAACACCACAACTCAAAAGCATTGACTCTTCTTCAGTCTTCCTTTTTCATTGTCCAGCTCTCACATGCATATGGGGCAATTGAAACTACCATGGCTTGTGTCAAGTGCACCATAGTCTTCAAGGAAACATCTTTGCTCTTCAGCACTTGAAAGAGGTCCCTTGCAACAGATTTGCCCAGTGCTACACGATGCCTGATATCTTGACTGCTGCTTCCATTGGTGTTGATTGGTGTTGATTGTAGGACCAAGTAATATGAAGTCTTTGAC